TGTTGGATGAAAAGACTTCAGCAGGGTTGAAGTCAGAGCTCTGAGCTAGCTGGATATTCTATTCCAAACTAAACATTTGCATTTTGTTACAATTTGTTTTTCAGAGAAAAAATTTAGGAGATTCAAATGTACTGTATATGAATCTCCAGATAGGCATAGTAATAAATGTCAATGAATCCGAAAAACAAAAATTACAATGAAATTAACTGGGAAGGCTTCCCACAAGATTTTGGAGGGTGTCTGTGGAAATTTGTGCCCATTTGCAGGATCAGGTACTGATGTTAGATGAGAAGACCTGGCTCACAATTGGCATTCCAATTCATCCCAAAGGTGTTCAGTAGAGTTGAAGTCAGGGATCTGTGCAGGACACTTGAGCTCCTCCAGCACACTACTGCACACCTTTGGGCTAAGACGACCTCATCTGAAAGGCATTTGGTAGGGTTAAGGGCAGGTACTGATGATAAGACCTTATACCAAAGGTCTTCTCAAAGTAGGGCTGAGGTCAGGACTCTGTGCAGGACACTTGAGTTCCTCCACACCAGTAGGGTTGAGGTCCAAAGGTGTTCAATAGGGTTGAGGTCAGGGCTCTGTGCAGGACACTTGAGTTCCTCCACACCAGGAGGGTTGAGGTCCAAAGGTGTTCAGTAGGGTTGAGGTCCAGAGCCAAAGTGTAGAGGAGGGGAGCAGGAATCACTTAAAAGCAAAGGCTACAGCCAAAAGAGCATTTTGAGGTCAGCTACTGATGTTGGATGAGAATATCTTGCTCACAATCAGCCTTCCAAGTCATCACAAAGGTTTACAGTAGGTTTGAAGTCGGGGCTTTGTGCAAGACACCCGAGTTCCTACACACCAGTAGTGTTGAGGTCAAAAGATGTTCAGTAGGGTTGAGGCTAGGGCTCTGTGCAGGGCACTCGTGTTCCTCCACACTAAACTGGTCAAGCCATATTTTTTATGAAGCTGGTTTACAATTGACATTCCAATTCATCCCAGGAGTGTTCAGTAGGGTTGAGGTCAGGGCTTTCTGCAGGACACTCAGGTTCTTCCACACCAAAACTGGTCAAACCATGTCCCTATGGAGCTGACTTTGTACACACGGGACAGTCATGTTGGAACAGGAGAGGGTCTTCACCAAACTGTTACCACAAGGTTGGAAGAGCACAATTGTCTACCATGTCTTTGTATGATGGAGTATTACCGGGACCCTTCACTGGAGACACCTGAACTCCATCAATCACAAGAGATGTAGTTGGGCTTTAAAGTTCATACATCATTTTTAATTTTAGACAGTGTAAGTGTTAGAACTCCTATCTGATTTTTATTGCTGTCTGTGCCCCCAATAGGGAGGATCACCCTTTGAATTCTTGTGGTCACCACTATGACAAAGATAGAAAGTGATGGGGATTCCCGCATTTTACTAAGAGGGCAATTCCCCTCACTGTGAAGAGATTTTCTCTCACTTACTGTTGTGCCCCCAGTATGGAAAGGTAAGGTTCCAATCAGGGGTGGACTGACAACTCATGGGCCCCCGGGCAATAGGGGATCATGGGGCCCCTGTGTCATTGCCCAAACTCAAAAAAGCCTATGAAAAAGGTACCAGGGGCATCTCATGGGGCCCCCTACTGACCCCGGGCCCTTGGGCAGCGCCCGAGTTCCAAATGGTGAGTCCGCCCCTGGCTGGTACTGAGGTAACAGGTGGTGGTCAGGGGCGGACTGACCATTTGGAAACTCGGGCACTGCCCGAGGGCCTGGGGTCAGTAGTGGGCCCCATGAGATGCCCTGGTACCTTTTTCATAGGCTTTTTTGAGTTTGGGCAAGGACACAGGGGCCCCATGATCCCCTATTGCCCGGGGGCCCCATGAGTTGTCAGTCCACCCCTAGTTGAGCTACTCTACGATCTTCAAGGACCTCCTTCAAAATAATCACTGGTATGCCTTAGTCTTCTAACCAGAAGTGCCACGAAAGTCTATGAACTTGTCCCACCATAACAACATCCATACTTCATTATGCCGTTCCTTAACAGCCAAAGAAAATTGTCATAGCACGTTCCTCTCTTCTCTTTCAAGAACTCTTTCTTCCTCCTTCATTACGTATTCCATCATACCGCACGTCAGTAAATTCAGCATATCCTAGCATTGCCCGGGGGCCCCATGAGTTGTCAGTCCGCCCCTGGTGGTGGTAGTCTCTGGACTGTAGTCAGCAGTAGTGTAGGCACACCAGAGGAGGACCAAGGATGATGGCCCACAGGAAGGCACCTGGGAACTGGAGCTTGAAGGCTTGGTATAGAGATGGTTAGTCCGCCCCTGGTGGTGGTAGTCTCTGGACTGTAGTCAGCAGCAGTGTAGGCACACCAGAGGAGGACCAAGGATGATGGCCCACAGGAAGGCACCTGGGAACTGGAGCTTGGAGGCTTGGTATAGAGATGGTTAGTCCGCCCCTGGTGGTGGTAGTCTCTGGACTGTAGTCAGCAGTAGTGTAGGCACACCAGAGGAGGACCAAGGATGATGGCCCACAGGAAGGCACCTGGGAACTGGAGCTTGGAGGCTTGGTATAGAGATGGTCAGTCCGCCCCTGGTTCCAATGCACCACGGGGTGTGTAGTTCACTCAGGCATTCAGAATGGCAAATGGATGTGATATCAGCACCTGAATGGTCAAGTAGTGATGCAATTCCGTTCTGTAGGCCCAGGGCGGTTTTATGATTCAACCCCAAGGGGCACCTCCATGATTCTCTACACTCACAGTAAGTGGGTTACATGGCGTTAAAGGAACAGGACAGGCTCTGAACCCAGCGCCATGAGTCTCTGAAGGAACAGCTCCGGGCATAAGGTGAATATTGCTTCCAAAGCTTTTGTATTGCAACAACTGTTGGGCAACAGATTTCAAATAAAAGCTGCAATTTGCCTATAATCATGCTCCATTGGCATTTCACCACGGCGCCATCATATCGTTGACCTTTGCGGCAAACAAGCGGGTGACAATTGTGTAGAAGAGAAGGAAGGAATAAACCTCCTCTTTTAGCAGGAACTGTATAAAGACATAACACGTTATGGCTCGGAGCCTAGGAAATGTTGTAGCCAAGTACGAATTAGCAAGCGAGCCTGGGATGGAGGAGTGCACTCCAGCATGTGCTGCGTACAGATCCCCGGTCTCCTGAGCACCGCAGAGCTTTCATTGCCGCCACTCGGGGGCTTTTGTCCCTGGTACAGCCCTCTGCTCCTTGGCACAGGCTGAGGGGCTAATGCATTCCCCTATGAATGAAACAGATTCCTCCTCTCCAAAGCTTTTCCATTACAGAATGACACTGCCACCTCCCGCCTTTTTTTTTTTTTTTTTCGACGTGGCCACGGATCTAAATGCTCTTACATTGCTGCTGCCTTATTATATTTTATATGTCCTCCAGACTTTGTGTTCCAAAAAAAAAAAAAAAAAAAACCGAAAGCAGATGGACTGGAGAACAATAAGAACGGGAGAAAAGCTCCTGAGATGCAGTTATTAAGAATCACATTCAGCATTTTTTCTATTGTGATCCGAAGGATTTGCGAAGGAGCCCAAATGGCTTATTGTACAGAAGTGATGAATGAAAGTGTTAGGCTGGCCATACGTGGCTCAAATTTTCTCTGATTTCTGGATACTGGACAAAATTTGCACTATGGGTGGCCAACACCAACCCCCTCAACAAACTTCAAATGAGAAATTGAAGGGGCTGGGCAGTAAAAAAAAAAAAGTCACCTGGAAAGTAGCTGTAGCCAATCACAGGTGTCGGCTGACATAAAACAATAGCCAGCATCAGGGGCGGACTGACCATTTGGAAACTTGGGCACTGCCTGAGGGCCTGGGGTCAGTAGGAGGCCCCATGAGAAGCCCCTGATACCTTTTTCATAGGCTTTTATGAGTTTGGGAAAGGACACAGGGGCCCCATGATCCCCTATTGCCCGGGGGCCCCATGAGTTGTCAGTCCACCCCTGTGGATTCTGGACTTTGACCCTCGCTTGCCTCTGACTACATTCTGCTGCCTTCTTGGCTGCTTGACTATGATTACTCCTGCTCACAATGTATGACACTGGCTTGGCTACTGACTACCATGCTTTCCATTTGTCTTGGCCATGGCTTGCCATCTGACCATGGCTTTGATCTCAACGGGTACCTGTATCTACCTCTGACTGTATGTCCTCGCCGTCTCTATACCAAGCCTTCAAGCTCCAGTTCCCAGGTGCCTTCCTGTGGGCCATCATCCTTGGTCCTCCTCTGGTGTGCTTACACTACTGCTGACTACAGTCCACAGACTACCACCACCTGTTACCTCAGTACCAGCCAGGGGTGGACTGACCATTTGGAAACTTGGGCACTGCCCGAGGGCCTGGGGTCAGTAGGAGGCCCCATGAGATGCCCCTGATACCTTTTTCATAGGCTTTTTTGAGTTTGGGCAAGGACACAGGGGCCCCATGATCCCCTATTGCCCGGTGGCCCCATGAGTTGTCAGTCCGCCCCTGGCCAGCAGTGAAAATTCCACCATCCACGTCGTTTAACTTGGTTGGTGGAATCTATGGGCTTCTCTTGTTCAACCCAATGGTAGAAATCCTTATTGTCTCTTGTTGCTCTTGTTGTCTGATCTCCCTGCTGACCCAACCTGCTCCTGACCTGTGGATTCTGGACTTTGACCCTCGCTTGCCTCTGACTACATTCTGCTGCCTTCCTGGTATTGACATCGGCCTGCTGCTTGACTATGATTACACCTGCTCACAATGTATGACACTGGCTTGGCTACTGACTACCTTGCTTTCCATTTGTCTTGGCCATGGCTTGCCATCTGACCATGGCTTTGATCTCAACGGGTACCTGTATCTACCTCTGACTGTATGTCCTCGCCGTCTCTATACCAAGCCTTCAAGCTCCAGTTCCCAGGTGCCTTCCTGTGGGCCATCATCCTTGGTCCTCCTCTGGTGTGCCTACACTACTGCTGACTACAGTCCCACAGACTACCACCACCTGTTACCTCAGTACCAGCCAGGGGTGGACTGACCATTTGGAAACTCGGGCACTGCCCGAGGGCCTGGGGTCAGTAGGAGGCCCCATGAGATGCCCCTGATACCTTTTTCATAGGCTTTTTTGAGTTTGGGCAAGGACACAGGGGCCCCATGATCCCCTATTGCCCGGGGCCCCATGAGTTGTCAGTCCGCCCCTGGCCAGCAGTGAAAATTCCACCATCCACGTCGTTTAACTTGGTTGGTGGAATCTATGGGCTTCTCTTGTTCAACCCAATGGTAGAAATCCTTATTGTCTCTTGTTGCTCTTGTTGTCTGATCTCCCTGCTGACCCAACCTGCTCCTGACCTGTGGATTCTGGACTTTGACCCTCGCTTGCCTCTGACTACATTCTGCTGCCTTCCTGGTATTGACATCGGCCTGCTGCTTGACTATGATTACTCCTGCTCACAATGTATGACACTGGCTTGGCTACTGACTACCTTGCTTTCCATTTGTGTTGGCCATGGCTTGCTATCTGACCATGGCTTTGATCTCAACGGGTACCTGTATCTACCTCTGACTGTATGTCCTCGCCGTCTCTATACCAAGCCTTCAAGCTCCAGTTCCCAGGTGCCTTCCTGTGGGCCATCCTTGGTCCTCCTCTGGTGTGCCTACACTACTGCTGACTACAGTCCAGGGACTACCACCACCTGTTACCTCAGTACCAGCTAGGGGTGGACTGACCATTTTGGAAACTCGGGCACTGCCCGAGGGCCCGGGGTCAGTAGGGGGCCCCATGAGATGCCCCTGGTACCTTTTTCATAGGCTTTTTGGAGTTTGGGCAAGGACACAGGGGCCCCATGATCCCCTATTGGACACAGGGCCCCCATGAGTTGTCAGTCCACTCCTGGTACCAGCACCTGTGCTTTTTTGTGCCCTGTGCCCCTATTCCCACACTCAGGGTTCCAGTGCCGCAAGGACCCTTATTCCCACACTCAGGGTTCCAGAGCCACAAGGGCTCCTATTCCCACACTCAGGGTTCCAGAGCCACAAGGGGAAGCCCTTTCGTCACTTCGGCCATCAAATAAGGTACGTGACGCTAACCCTTCTTTTAAAATCACGCCACACCAAACCACATGGTGCTGTAGCACCATGTGGCTTGGTGCGTGTGAAATGTGCCAATGCATGGGGCGCCATTAAGAATTAATGGCACCCAGTGTGTCTGCTAAAGTGCAATGCGTTCTCCAGAGATATTAACCTAGTCTTAGCAGAAGGAACATTTTTACTCCTCTTAGACCCAATTCACAGCAGGTCCCCCCATTCCCACATGCTTTTTTTTTTTGAGTGTTTTCATGCAGTTTGCATGCCTTCTTACGTGACACCCATAGGACAGCCCGTTTATTTCAATAGGTTGCTCTATGCAAGACAAACATGCCAAAGCAGCTCCAGAATCTTTTTTGGGCGTGGAGCCTCACGTGTTTTGGTGTTTTCGTAGCACATTTTAACAAATATTGGCACCGCAAGTGCGAAACATTTTTATCTTCAAAGACGTTAGCCGGCAACTCGGATGCTTCTCAATATAGTATCTTTATTGGCTACAAAATGTTAGTACAGGATTAGTACAGGAGCTCAAGGTCCTGCTGCGGTGACCAGGCTAACCAGGATGAGCGTTGCTGGTGGTCACTGCTGCTGGTGGCTTTGTAAACCCAGGACCCACTGCTGACCCAGTTGGGCTTGGATCTAGTACAGGAGGGCTGTCTGTTCCCCCCTGGGACACAGGCCCCACTAAGTTAGCAGCAGGACCTGGATTCGCCTGGGGACCAGAATGAGCCTGATTGGTCCAGTGTGCTATCCATCAGACCAGGCCTTCCAAGGCCCCACTGCTGGTGACCTTGGCTAACCAGGATGAGCCTTGCTGGTGGTCACTACTGCTGGTGGCTGGGTGAACCCAGGCTCCACTGCTGACCCAGTGGGGCTTGGATCTAGTACGGGAGGGCTGGCTGTTCCCCCCTGAGACACAGGCCCCAATAAGTTAGCAGCAGGACCTGGGTTCGCCTGGGGACCAGAATGAGCCTGATTGGTCCAGGGTGCTATCCATCAGACCAGGCCTTCCAAGGCCCCACTGTTGGTGACCAGGCTAACCAGGATGAGTCTTGCTGGTGGTCGCCGCTTGTGCTAACCAGGAGAAACCTGTCCCCACTGTTGATCCAGTGGGGACTGAATCCAGTAAGGGAGGACTGACTGTTCCCCCCAGGGACACAGGCTCCACTACAGGCTCCACTAAGTCAGCAGCAGGGTCTTCACCTAGAAACCAGGATGAGTCTGATTGGTTTGAAGTGCTATCCATTAGACCAGGCTGCCCCAGGACCCGCTGCTGGTGATTCTGCTAACCAGGATGAGTCTTGCTGGTGATTGCCGCTTCTGGTGACCAGGCAAACCCAGGTCCTGCTAAGTTATCAGTAGGGTCTGGGTTCACCTGGGAACCGGGATGAGTCTGACCATTCTGGATTGCCATCCATCAGACCAGGTCTCCCAAGGTCCTGCTGCTAGTGACCAGGCTAACCAGGATGAGTCTTGCTGGTAGCCAGGTGAACCCAGGTCCCACTGCTGACGCAGTGGGGACTGGGTCCAGTACAGGAGGGCTGGCTGTTCCCCCCCCCCCCCCCCCCCCCCCCGAGACACAGGCTCCACTAAGTCAGCAGCAGGGCTTGGCTTCACCTAAAAACCAGGATGAGTCTGATGGAGCAGACTGCCCCAGGCCCTTCTGATGGTGACTGTGGTTAGCCAGAATGAGTCTTGCTTGTGGTTGCCACTTCTGGTGACTAGGCAAACCCAGACCCCACTAAGTTAGCAGTAGGGCCTGGGTTCACCTGGGAACCAGGATGAGTCTGATTTCTCTGGGGTGCCATCCATCAGACTAAGTTAGTAGTAGGGCCTAGGATCAACTGGGAACCAGGATGAGTCTGATTGCTTCGGGGTGCCATCCATTAGACCAGACCTCCTAAGGTCTTGCTGCTGGCAACCAGGCTGAGTCTTGCTTGTGGTTACCACTTCTGGTGACTAGGCAAACCCAGACCCCACTAAGTTAGCAGTAGGGCCTGGGTTCACCTGGGAACCAGGATGAGTCTGATTTCTCCAGGGTGCCATCCATCAGACTAAGTTAACAATAGGGCCTGGGTTCACCTGGGAATCAGGATGAGTCTGATTGCTCCGTGGTGCCATCCATCAGACCAGACCTCCTAAGGTCTTACTGCTGGCAACCAGGCTAACCAGGATGAATCTTGCTGGTGGCCAGGTGAACCCAGGTCCCTTCTGATGGTGACTTTGAGTCTTGCTTGTGGTTGCCACTTCTGGTGACTAGGCAAACCCAGACCCCACTAAGTTAGCAGTAGGGCCTGGGTTCACCTGGGAACCAGGATGAGTCTAATTCAGGGGTGGACTGACAACTCATGGGCCCCCCAGGCAATAGGAGATCATGGGGCCCCTGTGTCCTTGCCCAAAAAAGCCTATGAAAAAGGTATCAGGGGCATCTCATGGGGCCCCCTACTGACCCTGGGCCCTCAGGCAGTGCCTGAGTTTCCAAATGGTGAGTCCGCCCCTGGTCTGATTGCTCCAGGGTGCCATCCATCAGACCAGGCCTCCTAAGGTCTTGCTGCTGGCAACCAGGCTAACCAGGATGAGTCTTGCTGGTGGCCAGGTGAACCCAAGTCCCACTTCTGACCTAGAAGGGACTGAGTCCAGTACGGGAGGGCTGGCTGTTCCCTCCTGGGACACAGGCTCAACTAAGTCAGCAGCAGTCAAAGACGTTAGCCGGCAACTCGGATGCTTCTCAATCTTTATTGGTTACAAAATATTAGTACAGGATCTACAGATGGTAACGCCTTTTATTCATAGCTCAAACGCGTTAGCATCTGTAGTACCTGTACAGATATTTTGAATGAAAAAGTGCGTAAAAAACACGCGCTCGTGCGTTTTTTTCGTCCGTTCTGGAGACGCAAAGGTGTGAATGCAGCCAAACTGCCAGGATGTCAAGTAATTACGAAGTATCACTTGCAACATTTAGCTAAAGTAACACTGTTATGTTTGGCTAACGGCGGAATATCGCATCTGACATGTTGACCAGAGGCGGACTGACAACTCATGGGGCCCCCGGGCAATTGGGGATCATGGGGCCCCTGTGTCCTTGCCCAAACTCAAAAAAAGCCTATGAAAAGCCTATGAAAAAGGTACCAGGGGCATCTCATGGGGCTCCCTACTGGCCCAGTGCCCGAGTTTCCAAATGGACAGTCCACCCCTTGGACAAAGAGATATGGGGGCCAGGGATTTTCTGGAGAAGACCCAAAACAGCAGCATCTTGCTGGTTGCAGGCTCAACTGCTTCCTCTCTCATGGGGCCCCCTACTGACCCCGGGCCCTCGGACAGTGCCCGAGTTTCCAAATGGTCAGTCCGCCCCTGGTCTCGTCCATTCCCCGGCTGTCCAAACTCCTCCTCGTGTGCCCTAGAGAATGACCACGCCCGGAGCGGCTGCTACGAAGGTTAACTATACCCAGGAGAGGACACATCGGGCGTGCATGCAATCTAAATGGCCTCGAGTGACCACTAGGGGGGCGCAATAGAGTGAAATTTAGCCTGTAACCGTCAGGACGGGGTGGCATGCTGATAGGAGGGGAAAGCAAAGCAGCAAAAAAGAAGAGCCCATCACTGTGTAGCTGCTTCTCCTTCACTGTCCATTCCGTGCAGCACACTGGAGTTCCTCCACACCAAGCTGGTCAATCCATGTCTTTATGGAGCTGGTTTACAATTCATCCCAGAGGTGCTCAGTAGGGTTTGGGTGAGGGCTCTGTGCAGCACACTGGAGCTCCTCCACCCCAAGCCGGTCAGGCCACATCTTTATGGAGCTGGTTTACAATTGGCATATCAATTCATCCCAGAGGTGTTCAGTAGGGTTTAGGTCAGGGCCGGGGGTGGACTGAAAACTCATGGGGCCCCTGTGTCCTTACCCACACTCAAACCAAACTCAAAAAAGCCTATGAAAAAGGTACATGGGGCATCTCTACTGACGCCGGGCCCTCGGGCACTGCCCGAGCTTCCAAATGGTCAATCTGCCCCCTGATGTTGACCATCGTTCTACTTCAAAAAAAAAATAGAAAAACTTTCGTTCTGCCTTAAAATATGTGCAGACATATAAATTACTTTCAGGCGAGATAAATTTTAATGACTACACAGCGGAGGGAAGCGTCGTCCTTTGGCGGAATTCATTGCTAAAATGCGGCCGCTGAGTTTAATTATTCAGAAAAAGTCTTTAATTTATTTTAGAGTCACCTCCTCCAGCTCGCGTGGCCACTCGTTCTTCTCCGATGGATTCACCAGAATGGGGGAAAAATAAAAAAAAAACGTCCGTTCTAAACACTCGTCGCTGTAAACAAAACCCGGGGAGACTAATTTGCTGGGCTTGCGGCTTTTCCATCACCAACGCAGCAACCTTCGGAGACTGGATGAAAATATAGGTGTGCGTGTTCTTCTGAAAAAAAAAAAGGAAAATCAGCAGAATCTGAAAACGCTTTTTTTTTTTTTTTGTTCATTTGTGTTTTTAGCTTTAATAAAGGAGGAAAAAAAAATCACATAATGAGCAGCTGGTGGACCTCTGGGCAGATGAGCATTTCACCTTTTGCTAGAAAGTAAAAAGAAATAAAATGAGACAACGCTCTATTTTTGAGATGGGGGTCACGTCCACGAAATGGCACAAGACTGATTCTTCTTTCCAATTCTATTATAAATGTAAAAGAGTAGAATAGTCTGAAAGGAATGTGAAATTAAAGCTGAACTCCAGCCAGGGGGAGTAGGATCTTATTAGGAGGGTAATAGATTACTCTCACTTTATTAGAATAATCCCTGGTGACCAGGACAACCCTGGCCCCGCTGCTGGGGACTGGGCTGGTGGTCATCACTGCTGGGACTGGGCTGGTGG